ACCTTTAAAGAGTATTCTTAGGAAGTTTCAGCTGAATCCAAGTTTGAGCGATTTTCGTCGTAGTAGCACTTTAAATAAAGTTTATTGTATTGTATTGTATTGTATTGTATTGTATTGTAGTACAAATGTATAGTCTATATTTATTATCATATACCCATTCATATTTAGCAGGCCATTGTGAGTTTTCGCTGTTCCTTGATTTCAGACTCATTAACTCAGGGTTGGTCTAATTTTTTTGATTAGGTAATATAATGTTTGTGTTGCTCAAAGGCAGTGCAATACTTGTTAATGATGAACAAAACACTGAAGAATATTTGGAAGCAAAACAAGTTTTTCGTGAGTTTAAAATGTTTTATTTATTTGTAAATATATATAAAAAATAATATACTTTGATAGTCAGTTTTTTATCCCCAATGTTAGTAGAGCGGATGCAATTGAACCGTGAAATAAAATCAAACTAAATACTAACTAATAGTATCTATTTAGTGACTAATAGTTGCTATCACTCAACCAGAACATTCATCATACAAAGACAAATACACAAGAGACCATTAAACCACAACAAATTTTGTCTTTTGTTTAATAAATGTTCTGGTTGAGTAATAGCAACTATTAGTCACTAAATAGATACTATTAGATTGTAGTATTTATTTCACGGTTTATTTGCATCTGCTCTATTTTATAGACATATATGCTTCTGTCATAAGTCTAGGTTTTGAAGCACAAAAAAAAATTCAAGGGAAAACATTATTTTAYTAGTGAACAGAGCATGGTCGCAGAGGCTATGCAAGCACTGCAATTTCTGCAACAAGCTGTATAGCAAAACAGCACTGAAAACAAATGAATTATGATGCAATAATAATAATAATAATAATAATAATAATGGGAGGTTCTTATATAGCGCATTTATACATCTCGATGCGCTTTACGTTTATGACCAGTGGAGGACTTTACAGGCTGCATATTATGATGATGTTTGATGCAAAGCTGCACTTAACAAGGATTGAACAAATGGGAAGTAAAGAGTATGAAGTGAATAAATGACAAATGAAATGGAAAATGAAGAAAAGGGAAATTAACAAGTGCAAAGTGAATGATTGGGAAATGAGCTAGTGGGAAATAAATAAACTAGAGATGAAAAGAGAATAAATGAATGGGATTTTTTCCTTTTTTCTAGGGAAATTGCCATCATCTCCACCAGATGCTTGGATCAAAGCTAATGAGATTTCTGTTGTGGCTTTCTTCCCTAAAACTGCTATCAAAGAAGCTCTCGATGCTTTTCCATATGTGGTTTTGGAATGAAATATAACATGCCAAATGAGGAAAGAATGTTCTTATTACTGCAGTTTGATTTGAGTCAAGCGCAGGGCATGACTCTTGGGTGGGGTGCAAGTCTTGGGTGGGGAACTAGAAGTGCAACTCTCGGAGATGCCACCCATAAATCCTATTACAAGTCCTAAGTGGGGCATGAGTATTTGACGGGGTGCTAGTCTTGGGTGGGAGGATTATAAAATCACCCATATTAAAACTGTAAGCTGTAGATAATATTATAAATAAACATATTTATGTACAATAATCCAACAAAACTAAAAATCTAATTCTTAAAAAATGTGTACCCCAAGTATATTACATTAATTTGTTGGTTGCAAGAATGCGTCATGTAGATAACTATTTCCAGAATGCTTTACAAAAGTTCTTACCTATTTTGATTTTTAGGCCCGTTCCATATGCGAGCCCCACTCAGTTTCAACCTCAGGCAGTTTCAATTTGGTGTGGCAAGCTGTTAAGATTGAATGTACTTGCTACATTATTTGACACTAGAGTACCAGCTTATTCTTACGTCACTCTTTTGCCATACTAAATTTATCAATATTAGGTTTGGCACATGAGTGGTTTAGTGGTTCGGCACATGAGAAGTCTGAGTGGCGTGTGAGACAGGTCCTATTCTCTTTTGAATGATAAAAGACTATCCTCTAATGTCAGAGCTGACAGAAAATGGAAAGGGAACAGCATTGACTGATGCAACCCAGCACCATAACTGGAACCAAACAAACCTTTGACAAAAGGTTTTTTAGAGGTATTGAGTATTGACCAATATTCATAAGTTATTGTGATTTTGATTTTGGTATTGGCCATAGTCGCCATATTTTCTTCCAATGCCATCAATGTAAACCCATACTGGTGACTCAAAATTGCAATAGGTTTTGTATTCCGATTCTCCTATCGCAAGATAATAGACCCCTTCACGGTTCCCTGTGTCATCTTGAAAGGTAGCCGGGCCTTTGCATCGAAGCGAGATGAACGGTGAGCTTGCAATGATAGGGACCTGTGAATAATTGTCCAAGGTGTTAAAAAAGGTCCCTATCATTGTAAGCTCACCATTCGTCTTGATTCGATGCAAAGGCCCGGCTACCTTTCAAGATAGCGCAGGGAACCGTGAAGGGGACTATTCTGAGCCAACGATACGATACAGGGTTATATTGATGGCCCTCACTCCCAATCAAACTTATAGGAAAATCATGATACTCTAGTATATTCTTGGTATACACTTAATTGCAAAATCATTGTCTGGTTTAAGACGAACATAGAAACTACGACTGAAAGGTATGCAAGGAAATGACGTAATGACGTGTTAAAAGCTTCCATGCTTTTTGTCAGTGAACAATTTATGAACATTCCACAAGTTGTATCACTAGATACATCTTATTATCAATGATTTTTCAATTGCATGTATACTGAGATTGTGGTTTAGACTCCGACAGCCACCTTAGACGACAGAAAAATAGAAATCTTACTCTATGTATTTAAATTCTTTTTTCAGACGTAAAACTAGACCTTTTTCGAATTCATAAAATGTGGTTGTCTCCCTTGACTTCAGAATTATTTTTAACAGGGTTAGCCTCAAATTTGAGCAGAATATTCACGTGTTCAAGTGAAGGTCCGTAGAATTTGAAGTAATATTTGAAACGCTTGAGAGAGTTCTTCCTTTGATTTCCAAACATCGAAAAGTGAGTTGAAAAAACGAGGCGCAGCTGAGTTTTTTTAACTGACTTTGAGGTGCTTGGAAATCAAAGGAAGAACTCTCTCAAGTGTTTCAAATGACTTCTCAAACTCATGAATATTTCTTGGAGAAAATCAAAGAAAAAGTTTACGAAATTTAATGCAAATTAAGAACACATTTCCAAACCACCGTCACAGTAGTGATTTGCTTTGTTTTCTTCTCATGAAATATTCATGAGTTTTAGAAAGTGTACTCTTTAAGTCGTGCAGTCTTTACTGTTGATATTTGCGAATATTTTGACATCAAGATGATTCTAACCCTGCATAAATGAATCTGTAGTGAAGGAACACAGTGGCTTTTTTACGAACTCGAACAAGGTCCATCCTATTGTTCCTACCATCCAACATGGTTGCCGTCATGTGGTCATACAGACCCTCTATTCTCTAGACATCCTGTTAAACACACGCTTTCGTTTTTGCTTTGTCGGCCCATTTTCCAGTGCTTCTAGGTTAAGGTTACTGTCTGAATTATTTCTTAAATTTCTTTTGATGTTTCTTTCTGGAGTCGACCTCTTTTTTTCTTGTTCTCTAACTTGTGTTTCATTAGTAACCAGTTGACTCTCAAGGGCTTGAAGTCTTTCGTTTAAAGTAACTATAACACTTTGAACCTGAAAGTTAAAACAAAGTTGAACAAGATTTGAACATTTCGTAATCAGACATAAAAATATATTGGAAGTTGTTGTCACTGATTGGAAACAAGTTTGGTGTTTTGAACTAACATAAGTTTGGCATTTCGGTTGTTGGTACAACTTGCACAGTCTAGTGGCGGATCCAGGGGAGGGGTGCGCACCCCTCCCTGGTTAGACTTTATGCCCCTACTTTGAAGATAACCAATACAAAATAATAGAAGATAATATAGGTAAGTTGTAGTGCTTGGGAACGAGGTTATTCCGGGCGAAAGCCCTTGGAATTAAATTCGGAAAATTTAATTTCCGACCTCGCTGGGATTCGAACCCACGACCTTCGGAATTGTACTACCGATGCTCTACCAGCTGAGCTAGAGGTCAGACTGAGAGCAGGCCGGGGTGAAATAGATGTTAGGTCGCGGTAATTATGATGCAAAGATGAGAGTATGTGGACCGCGTGGCACTAATGAAATAGTAGAAGATAATATAGGTAAGTTGTAGTGCTTGGGAACGAGGTTATTCCGGGCAAAAGCACTACAACTTACCTATATTATCTTCTACTATTTCATTAGTGCCATGCGGTCCACATACTCTCATCAATACAAAATAACGTTTTTTCCCTTTGATTCTAAAGGGATGCACCCCTCCCTGAACAAATTCCTGGATCCGCCCCTGCATTCACATAACTTTTGCAATGACAATTTGAACAGCCTACAGATCACCATTGAGGAAGGTTGTAGTTACAAGCAAATCGTCCCAACTAAATAGATTTTCCAATCAATGATAATAACTTTCAAGATATAAGGGATACTTACTTTAATTATTTCTGAGTGTAACACCTGAGCTGTAGGAATTTCCAGTATTTCTTCAGTAGATTTAAAAGTATTTTTGGCTTTCTGTGAGCCCAGCTGATAGCTACAGGGGAAAAAAAAGTAATAGGTAAATTATGCTTTTTGAGAAGTTGGTTTTAGACTATTCGACAGATGTTCCTAATGTGTAGTTCCAGATATCATCCATACCCACCCCACAGAGGAATTTGGAATTTCCGAAGAGTAGGGGGGTCAGAGAAAGAACAAAAATTACAGAGTTTGTATGGAAGAAAATTGGAATTTCCAGGGGGTAGGGGGGTGTCTTAACAAAATTCCTCCATGAGGGGGTATGGATAATTTTTGGAACTACAGAATGGTACCTAGTACATGTCATAGACCCTTCCATCGAAGCAGCTAAATTTGGAGGAAAAAACGAAGGAATTCAAATCTCCTGAGAATTGGAAACCTAYTGTTATGTCCTCCAAATTGAGCTGCATTCCAATGTGCTGCAAGGAGTCTGCGAATTATATTCAGTCTTACATTTTTTATTTCTCACCTCTTAATACTAGAACAATCCAATGTATAAATGTCTCTGTAAAATATATGAATGAAAAAAATTGAAATTATTTATGAGTTAAGTAACAATTCCAAATCTGTGACCATTTTTGAAAGCAGTGTTGGGCATAATGTTTTCCCATTTCAGACCAGTGTCATTCCCTAGAGTATCATTTCTTTGTTTAACGGTTGCACACGAGAATACACCTTCTTCACCTTCGATGTAATGTTTTCTCATTTCAGACCATGTGTCATTCCCTAGAGTATCATTTCTTTGTTTAATGGTTGCACCTGAGAATACACCTTCTTCACCTTCGATGTAATGTTTTCTCATTTCAGACCATGTGTCATTCCCTAGAGTATCATTTCTTTGTTTAACAGTTGCACACGAGAATACACCTACTTCACCTTGTGCGTAATGTTTTCTCATTTCAGACCATGTGTCATTCCCTAGAGTATCATTTCTTTGTTTAACGGTTACACACGAGAATACACCTACTTCACCTTGTGCGTAATGTTTTCTCATTTCAGACCATGTGTCATTCCCTAGAGTATCATTTCTTTGTTTAATGGTTGCACCTGAGAATACACCTTCACCTTGGATGTAATGTTTTCTCATTTCAGACTGTGTCATTTCCCTAGAGTATCATTTCTTTGTTTAATGGTTGCACATGAGAAGACACATAAATATGGATGCAGCTTGAACTAATGATCTTAATCTCAAGATAATAAACATGGTCTGAAATGGGAAAACATTATGACCAAGAAAAAGTGGTTTTATAACATAAACTGACCAGCGAAGACCACCATTACTATACCAACCTGATCATATCTAACTTCCTTGGTGTAGTTTTATATATTCTTCCTATTTTTGCCTGGCATGCCGTACACTGCAGTGGAATAAATGTGCTGGAAGGGAAAAATAATAGTAAAGTAGGGACCGCTCTATAAAAATAGTTCCGCAAGAAAGAATGGTGATTAGATGGTATCTAAAAGGCTTTGCCTCAAATATAAGCTTAGATAAAGTTGTAGTTTGTAAGCCTTTCTCAAAGTGCTTACCTTCCTAAATCATCTCCTTCGGTGGATATTTCCATCCCATCTTCAGTTGCTATGTGCACACCATGAGTAACAGCTGCAACGAATAAAAACTTAAGATCTCTCGACACGAAGGCAATGCTACAGTAGAAGAAACCGTCTTTGTCGACGTAAATTTTTTAAGATTTTGCAATCTTTCTCACCTGATAGCGATACAGTTCTCAAGTTTGGATCAGCACAGACCCAAGCAAAACTATCCCCGAGAATTGAAAGACAGCCAGTACACTGAAAGACTAACGGTAAGGTTTCTTCTGCTTCATTGTCTTCAATTGTTGTTTCTTCTGTCGAATTTGCCGCCATTTTGGCTTCTCAGGCGGAATGCCACAGCAAGCCCAACTTGGACTTTTTCTTATTTTTAAAAGCAAATAAAAACTTACTTGAAATATTAATTTCAGTTGTAAATCAATTATTTTATGAAATGCAAAGACTTGCAAAAGCTAATATTATATTTTTCTAGTAATGTTTGAGTGTTTCAGAAATATTGATTGGGTGTCCTGTGGTTTTTGTGAGGGTCTAAGCCCAGGCTCTTTAATCTAATCATTCTTAGCTTGGATGGTCTTGGATGTCTTTACTTCCAGTCATCACTGATCAGGGCTGCAGCCTCGCCCCATCATAGTGTCAAAGGTAAGATATTCCTCGAGTATAGGTTGCTATCAATAGACGTCACTTCCRGTAATAGCTCTTTTTTGATGGCTTGTAGAATCCTTGAGGTTGTTTTGATCTCTTGTTTTCTGGTTTGATGTCGTAGAAATAGTCAAATACAATAGTTTGAGGACTTATTTTGATATGTTTTGACTTAGCATCCACTAGTTGCACCCCAGTCAACTCCAAAAAGTCACTTGATTGATAGTAAGCAATAAGAGTTAAATGACCAGAGCCTTTCATTGTTAAGCATGATGGTTTTGAATGACAGCCCTGAGGCTGAGGGTGCACATTGACTTGTCTTTCAATTTCTTTCAAGTATAATATGTATTAGCCAAATCCAACTGGTTGTCTATCTATCATCAATGCTGCGTTTTGATTACTACTAGGCTATAAGTCATAGCCTATGAGAAGCAGTAAGTGCCGGCTTTGAGAACCAAAACATGAAAATTTTAACTTTAAATCAAAACTTGTTTGCATCTATATTTGACCGACTACTTGGTTTTTTATTAAAACCATTAGTCCTTTTGCCCTCATACCCTATGATTCAATAGCCTGTGATGCCAAAGGTAGAAATGTCCGCCAATTTTAAATTTAAATCAGAGACAAAACTTTTGTATCATCATTTATCTGCTGTTTTTTATTATCATTCTTTATACGATGCTCAGTAACAATTATTATTCTAGTTTTGATGTGATTACAGCCATTCTCAATCACACATGCCCTCTAACGATTGTTTCTGTCACAGCAAAGCTTTTGGTGGACATCAATCAAGGCGTTTCCATGACATTCTATATGCACGTGCCCATAAAGCTTTGTGTTTTCCTACAATGTTATGGAAACGCCTTTTGATTGACATCAACCAAAACCTTCTTTGTCGCAACCAAAAACAATCGCTAGAGGGCTTGTGATTGAGAATGGCTGTAATAGAATGATCAGTAACCTTCTGCATTTTCTCTCAAAATTAATTTATTAATGAGTCTTTTTGCAGAAAAAAGGACCCTACTTATAAAGGACCATGGGCTCAGCCAAGTAATGAAAAGTGTGCCCCAGCAAAAATGGACCCTTTTTTCTTCATTAGATAATTGGTGATTTTTGTTATTTTCTTTTAAAATAAGTGCTGTGAATAATACAAACAGATAAAGTCTAATTATCAACCCAAGTAAATAATTTACAACTTTTACCATAGGACAATGGACTGCTTYGATGATACAGCGGCTATCTTGCCACAGGTTTCTTGTGCTTTACTTTCTTTTATGGGTAAAGGTGATCAAGGTGTGGTCTTAATTTATATTTTGTTGTGTTGTCTAATGGTTAGCTGTTAATATCAATCGACATCATTACTGTAACAAAACTTTGTTTGCCCCCTGAATGCCCCGTAATGCCTTGCAATCCAAGATGGCTGCTGTAACATCGAAGTAGTCCATTGCAAAGGTCCTGACAGTAGGGAGTAAGGAGCTCTCCTCTTTTTCTGAAGCTATTACTGTGTTATGAACCACATCATGAACATTTCAAAAAGGTTTTGACTGCTTAACAACTTTTATTCATGCTATTTACCACTAACCAAGGAGGTAGATGCTTCACTTTGATGTTTCAAAAGGTGCATGGACTTCGTACCTCTATGTAACAAATTGAAACATCTTGTTGAAGCACAGATACCTAATTGGTTTGCCATCAAGAGCAGGATTAGAGGTTGTCAAAAAGTTGTTAAGATGTCAAAACCTTTTTGAAGTGTTCACAGTATAGCATATAGCACAGTAAACCAATATGCCATGGAAACACAGTAAGATAGTAGAGATTTTGTGTTATCTCATTAGCAGTCTCTAGCAGCAATGTTAATAGCAGAAGATCTGGTTCACTTGATGAGTACTGCTGTCAACTATTTGCCACTATTTTTAGTTCAGAAAGTTTGACTTTTGTAAGAACATTTTACTGATTCCACTGGGTGACTCCATCCTACGATTTGTTTCCACATGATTCCACTTGAGTTTTCTGTGTCTTCTGTATAATACTGTCTTGTTGTCGTATTAGAAATCTATTTGAGCAGATTTCAAGTAGAGTTTTTAAATATGTTCTATGATCCTATCACGTGTTCTTGAGATGCGAAAGGACAACCATATCCTTTCATAATGAGAGTTTTTTTGAAGAAACCAGTCCACCATTTTATAATCATTGAAGTCCACTCACAACCACTCTCAAAAATTATTCTGTCATTATTAAGTGTGAATATTTTTTAGCCGAAAAAGGTCTTTTTTTTGCTTTCCACTTCTGTCTCCTTTGAAGGAAATATTGGAGATATTCAACCACTCTGTCAAGAAGCTGTAGACTCACTCTTCTCTCGTTTATGACATCCACACTCCACAAGTTTTATTTATCACAATCTTGATGAAAAAAGCTAGAATTGAAATCCTTGTTGAGGCATTTCAATGTTATTTCCTCCAAACTGGTATTGCTCAGAACTAGGATCTGTGACAGGGGCAAGTTTTTCATCTTCGTCATCAGCTCCAAAGTAATTTTCAATTATTTCAAATGCTTTTCTATATATTTCTTCATTGTCATGTCCTTGCAGGAATTCTATCTTGTCCAAACCTTTGGAAAAATAAATATCGGTCAAATTAATGATGTGATTTTTAAGTGTAAGATAAAGAGTCAAAATAAACCACTCTAGGTCTGGATAAGCTTGATGATAGTTCATTATAAGATGTTTTAATATGGAGGTGCAGTAATGATGTATATTTAAGGGACATAAAACCTGCACACGTTTCTGTACCGTGATATAAACAAGCTGGGAGCTGTAGAGTATTAGAGAAGCAAGCTTAGGAACACAAGGAGTAGCTGAGGACATCAACTGCCCAAAAAACCCTTCAATGATTTAACATTTTGAACCCAATAACAATTTTGAATCTAGTGTATATATTAGCATATATTATACCACTACAAAGGCTTTCCTGCTTTTCTATTCACCCTTTGGTTCAATCCCTGACTATTGAGACCCTAGAATACATGATACTTATACTTCAGAATCATTCAGTAATATCTGCACCGAACGGTACAGTGGACAGTGCCAACCACTTACTGATCACTTACCGACCACTTACTGTACGGTGCAGATTGTTTACTATTACCAAATCATTCAACACTCACCATATGCTTCTTCAACCATTATAGCAAAAGGATTTGGTGTTCCGTTCTCTTTGGAGTCGGTCTGTCCAATCTTAAGAATATTATCCAAAGCATTTAATCCCACCTGGACGATCTTGGGATTGAACACAGTTAACAGGTCACATAATGGGCGGATTGCACCTTGACTAACAATATACCTGCAAATGACGAACCAAGTTAGTTATGATAGACCTAACTTAATAATAGACCTCTTAACGTTGGTCATAATGTTTTACAATTTCAGACCACATGTCATTCTCTTGAGAATAAGATTCAAAAGAAATGATACTCAGGGGAATGACACATGGTCTGAAATGGGAAACATTACGCCTAAGGTTAAGAGGTCTATAGAATAGATTGGGATGGATGGATGGGATGGATGGATGGATGGATGAGATGGGATGGATGGATGGGATGGATGGATAGATGGATGGGATGGATGGTTTGATTGGCAAGCCACACCCTATAACTTCCAATTTATACAAATGTCGTAGCCAATCATCATCGCCATTGCCTGCCCGTAATCAAGAACAGCATAATTATTATATTACTATCATAATAAATCATAACACCAAGTATTACTTAAATCAACCAGCTTAGAAGTTATGTCACTGTACCTTATTTGTTCAGGTGTTCCCCCAGATGTTGCATTGGCGACAGCCCATGCTGCTTCCTTCCTCGTCTTGAATTCAGCTTTATTTAGAATTTCTATCAGCATTGGAATGATGTTAGCATCAATGACTGCCTAAAAACAAAAACAACAGTTATAAAATAAGAAAGTAATTTAGAATTAGCGTCAAATAATTTGAAATATCGAATGGATGTAACATTTCAAATGTTATTGATGCTGTGAAACAATACCTGCAATGATTACTCAATTTGGCTAGAAAGTTTTACCATAAGGACTTAATAGACCTTCTCGGCTCTTACGTAATGTTTTCCCATTTCAGACCATGTGTTATTCCCTAGAGTATTATTTCTTTGTTTGAGGTTTTCGCTCGGTTGCGCATGAGAAGACGCATGAATATTGATACGACTCAAACAAAGGATATTATTCTCAAGAGAATGACACGTGTTCTGGAATGGGACAATATTACACCGAGCCAAGGAGGTCTATTACATAGGTTCAAAATAAACATTTGACTTCTGTGGCATTCAAAGGTTTTCATAACTGTTTATGTTTCCACAATGTCAAAACTTTAAAAAATGGAAACTAAGGTTTGAAAAGAAAACTAATGATTACTTGGATCTGAAGTCTGTTTCCAGCTGTGATGTTTGATACCGTCCAACATGCCTCTTTTCTGATGCTTTCTTTCGCACTACCCAGCAGATGTAGAAGACTAGGCAACACATTGCAATTTAAGATAACCTGGAAACGCATTATAATATTAGAAATGATAGATGATGGTAATGAAGATGACGATGATGACTGTGTTGTAGTAGTCCTTAAGATAGGATAGGATATAGATAAGATACTGAACACCATCACTGATATCTTACCTGTGTTTGCACATCATCACCTGTTACGATATTCCCAACTGCTCTAAGAGCTGCAGACACTACATTATTCTGATTGTGCCTGCAAATAAGAACATGCAAAAATATGCTACCATGAAAAGGTCAAAACTAGGGGTGGGGAGGGTCTGAGGAGGGCATTATGAGTAGTTCAAGAAAATACTCATACCTCCTTTACAGAAGGGGATTGGAATTTCCAAGGGATGGGGCGGGTCTGAAGAGGGTATATTGTGTAGTTCTATAATATTCCATACCTCCCCAACAGAGGAGAATTGGAATTTCCAAGGGATGGGGCGGGTCTGAAGAGGATATATTGTGTAGTTCCAGAAAATATCCTTACCTCCCCCACAGAGGGGGATTGGAATTTCCAAGGGAGGGGGGGAGGGTCTGTATATTGTTTAGTTCCAGAAAATATTCATACTAAACGACAAACAAATGTACTTACATTAATAATTCTACTAGTCTTCTACAGACACCAGAGTCAATAACTGCTTGTATTTTTTCATTTGGTCCATCAGATAAGTATGACAAAGCCCAGCATGTATCGGCGAGACAATCTGGATCTGAACTATACAGTAATCTACTAAGAATCGGTAAACATGGAGATACCTGGTGAAAATGAAAATGAAATAAAAATTTTATTTTGCAGTTTTTATCAGGTATTTTAACCTTCAAACATCAAAATTTTATTGCAACAACCTCTAGGCTGATCTAAGTCTGGTTAYGGCTAACTCACAGATAGAACCCTGAAACAACCTTTGGGCTGATCTAAGTCAGGGCATGGCTAACTCACAGATCAAACCCTGAAACAACCTCTGGGCTGATCNCAGGGCATGGCTAACTCACAGATTGAACCCTGAAACAACCTCTGGGCTGATCTAATTAAGTCAGGGCATGGCTAACTCAGAGATCGAACTAAGAAACAACCTCTAGGCTGATCAAAGTCAAAAGTATGGATACCTCATGCATCTAATTTGAATTTAGCTTGTTAGGTCTTGCAGAGGGAGGAACTTTGAAGAACCTAATGAAAAACTCTTGAATCAAGGAAAAGACCCAATAAACTCTACTCACATTTGATGCCGAGTCTACAAACCAAATCCAAGACCCTAGAGGTGAGAGAGTGTACTAACACTACACCAACATCCATTCCCCAGGGTGACATGTTAGCATGATTCCTTCCTGTGAGTCAACCTCTACTTATGTCAAAAAATCATTCCTCCCTCCCCTTCCCAATAAAAAAAAACGTATCCATGGTTACCTTTGCAAAATCTGGAGGTGGATGTCTGCCACGACAGAGATTAGATAAYGCCCACACTAGGTTTCTTGTCATTGATAGTCTGGCAGATTTCGTTAGAAGACTGTAGAAATAAATAAGAAATAAGCACAAAACATAGTGCTCCTGTTATGATTGCTACTAATCAATGGTTTGAAAACATGAAAAACAACTTAACACCAAAGAGATCTATCAGACAACTTAATCTGCTGATGACCAAGGATTTGCTTACTTTAAAAATGGAAGCAGGACATTACAATTAAGTACATAATCCCGACAGTCAGCACTGTCTCCTGCAATATTCCCTAATGCCCAAACAGCCTGTAAAACAATAAATTTGATTCGTATTAATTATGTGAAATGGCAGGCTGATTACTACTCTTCCAAGTAGACAGTTTTTTTGTCACCTTGGTAGCGTCTGTTATGTTAACGGCAAGTGCCAATGTTGTACAGGTATTTTTTATACCACGTGAACAAAGTTTTCATCACAGGGTGTAAAAAACTTGTCCATGTAGTACAACAGCATCATGTGGATGATTTGAAATACACTCGCGGTTAACATAACGGACTCTATGAAGGCAATACAAAAAGATCACAACTACTCGGTGTACTGGAAAGAGTAGTCCTAAACATTCATAAAATACTGTTGTGTTTCTTGATTACAGACTCATTTACTCAGGGTTAGCCTCGTATCAGTGTCTAAATATTCACAAATAACAGTAAAGTAAAGGAATGCTCAACCTCAGCAACACAAACATTTTGAAATTCCACAGATGTTTACTGGAACACTTGAATATTCGATACAATATATAATGTTCTAACCCTGAGCAACAGTATTTTAGACTGTATTTTACCTGTTCCTGTACATCTTCATGACTTGATTCGAGTAATTTGATAAAACATGGCACAGCACCAGAGTTGACCGTCTCCCTTGTTTGTAACGATGTTCCTGACGCAACATTTGTTAAAGCCCATGCAGCCTCAAACTAAAGAGATTATTGGACAATACTTTAACAGCCAGAATAAGGTCATTATGATAAAATCTGTGACTCTCTTTCTCTCTTTCTTGAGATAGTAGCATTTTCCAAGATTGGTTTTTCATCCGCTTACTGTCATTTTCTATTTATTTGATTAACGATGTAGTCTATTACCCATTCATTCATTACTTCTGTCTTGATCAGTGTAATAATTATTAACGAAAACAAATGTTTGTTATTCAAATCCTTTTCACAAACCTGTAAACTACTATTATCTTCTCTCTGAAGAAATTCTACAAATTTTGGTATAACTCCACATTTTATTACGCCATCAATTGGAGGATTTGGTTCTGAAATAGAAAATATGTTGCGATGAAATAGTGATATCTAAAA